CTTTATACGTTCTAAAAAATAACAGATAATCCTTTTTTAGATAAATGTTTTGAAGAATGCAACTAAACATTTAGTATTTCCCATATTGTTTTTATGAAAGCCGAGAATGTAACGAGAATGGATGGAGGCGAGACGTATAAAGTTCACTTATTGTCCCGAAAAACTCCATCAAGATAACAACTTAGGAAGCATAAAAGTTTCAACTTTTTTATTAATATACTTTGAGTTTATAAGAAAAATTGTAAATTATCGAACAATGCAGCACTATATACGTGAGAAACACAAGAAATAATATTTTCACTTTTTATTAAAAAATATGATTTTATTACTATAGCATTTTGGTTTAGAGTAAATATTATATTTCAGATTTTAGTTCAAAATTATATTATTCGCTTAAGGTATATTGTTTGAAGAAAATTCATTTGAAAGATAAAGAGAAGATTTTAACTATATAAGCATGCTTTATTTTAGAGTATTATTACATGAAATTTTAGAGCATTATTACATGAATAGCTTGGAAAATGAGTTACAAAAACTATTGATGTAGAATTATAGTTTTTCAAATAGATTTTAAAAATGTAAGCTTATTATTTTGTTCAATAATAATATTAAAAATTTTCTTTAATTTTAAGTTATACAAATATTTTAGAGAATGTAATTTTATAAGGCAAAATACAAAATTTTAACGTGATTGTTGGAATTGTTCCTGAGAAATCAGATTTAAAGAATCTCTTTTTTTAAAATTCGATTTCTCAGAAGCTATTTGACCAATTTCGTTAAAATTTTGTTATTTGCGATAGGCAATTATGTTCTTTAAAATGATGTAATCATTCCAAAATTGTTTCGAATATTATAATATGAATTTATAAAAAATAATATTAAATTAAAATTATTTCTGGATAAACAAATTCTATTATGTTTTAGAAATTTTCTTTAATTTTCTCAAATAATTCTTTAGATATGGTGAAATTCGCAAGAACTAAAATTAACATTCAAGGGTCCAAAACTTTCGACCATATGATCTCTTATATTTTGGGTTGGAAATTATAATTCATCGAAAAAAAGGCTTTATCAATCAGAAAAAGTACTTTTTTTGTGTCTGACTTCGTAATTCACAATATCGTCTGAACTAACTAATTGGCATATTTGAACCACATTTTCGAACATTTTCATTTATTTGAAAGTTTGAACGCGAAAATCTTGAAAATATATGCAGGTTTTGTTTTAGCTTATTGTTACGTGAAAAAAACTGTACAAAGTTTTATAAAATTCTTCAATAAATAAGCAAATAAATTAATAAAAAAATGTAACTCAGGAAAATTTGTTAAACTAGGTGTCCCGTTTCTACTATATAAACAAAAGCAAATATAAAATTCAAATCATGTATATTCGTTTTAAAAAATCATATCTTTAAGAACTTTTTATAATATACAAGCTCTTAATGTGAAAGTTTCAAAGTATTTCAAAGCATTTTTGTTTTTTCATTTATTTGACCTTTACAGAGAAAAAATAGGTAAAGCTGAGGAAGACTCTCATTTTGTTTATAAAAAAGTAAAAAAGTATAATTAAAAAAAATAATGATATAAACAGAAAAAAAAACTCTGGTAAAATTACAGTACTGTATGGTAAAGACATTTATGATAAAAAAAATCGTAATTCTGTTAATCGAACCAATATATACAGTATTTAAATCATTCATTTGGTAATTCTTTCGTTGGTGGTTTACCAAAAATTCTGGTTTTCAAAATTATAGTTCTTATTACCACACATTTAGTAAAGATAGAAAACTGAAAAGTCAATTTAACCGACTAAATGGTTTTCATGCCATACTCTAAGGCATCATGATAAAATTACCAAATATTTTTTTTTCATTTACCAAATTTTATCACATATTATAAAACCATATAATTTTTTATTGTTAATTTTACCACAATCAATACCAAAGTGCTTCGTTAAAAATTATCGAGCTTTTTGGTGTTCTCGTAGAGCCATGAGCACAGTTAATTTTACCATATTCTGCTAGTTTTGACCAGAATTTTTTTTTCAGTGTAGGATAATAGTTTTTCAAATAGATTTTAAAGTTTTAATTTTATTTTGAAATCGATCAGCCCTTTTCGAGTTGTGTTTTCTTAGTCAGTTATGAAACGTAATTACGAGCAAAACTTTAAGTTTTTAAAAAGATCAGTAATTACGATACATTATCATCTATAGTGATAGATTTCTAATAAAATATTTACATGTGTTTTGAAACTCTTAAAAAGTTTAAACATATGAAAGGTAAATTAGAGGACAATTTCAAAAAGTAAAAAAAAAATTTATTCCTCTCTAAAAGTTAATATTACTTCATTTGATATTTTTTTTTGCGAAGTTAATATTACAGACTTGTAATAAAATATTTAAATAGGTTTTAAAACTCTTAAAAAAGTTTAGTTAATTGAAAGGTGTATTAGAGGAATATTTAAGAAAAAAAATCTATTTACCTCTCTGAAAGTAAGAATTTCTTCTCTTGATATCTTTTTTATTAGCGAAATAAATAATATATTGTTATAATAAATTATTTAGATGTGTTTTGAAACTTTAAAAAAAGTTTAATTAATTCAAAGTTTAATTAGAGCATTTCAAAAAGTAAAAAAAAAAAGATATTTTACCTCTCTAAAAGTAAGTATTGCTTTTCTAGATGTATTTTTTTTAATTATGGAAATAAATATTATATTAACACACATCCTGCAATTTTTAAGTATTACACAGTATGGAATTTAAGTGTGTTGTTATATATATCTATTGGGCTTAAAGTGCTCAAATGCATTTCTATAATTGCTTTCAAAATTCATTCGCATATCAGCTTAAATTTTACCCAACAATACTATCGAACACGATTCAGTTAAGTTTAGGTATTAATTAGAATAGTTATTAAATGTCGATATCATATTTCAAGCACTATTGTTAAGCCTAATGATTAATGCTGTAAGTTGAGTAGAAGAAATATTCATTGTTTATTGAATTGCAAAAATTAATGAACCACTTTCAATTCATTATGAGTGCAAATTTCGTAAATATACAATTGTTTGGTTTGGTTTTAATTTTTTTATTTGCATTCAGTGATGTTTTTTTGGCAAAAAGTAAAAGTAGAAGAATTTCTATGTTATTTGTTTTTATTTCAGTTTAATCTTGCACTACATAAAAAATAATATTCAGGAATTATAACTTGATTGAAAAATTCATTCATTTCAAAAATACATAAACATTTAATGTTGTATGTAAACCACATGTTTCAAAAATAGGCTGCAGCATATAGAGAATCAACATTCATATGAATAAAACAAGATTTGTTCATATGAATACTGATTCTATTGTTAATGATATTAGTTCCTCACCAACTCTTCATAGCACTTGGAAATTTGCTGTACTCTGATTTGTCCCTCTCGACCACTGCGGTTTTCCTAGTTCTGTTTTTCATCATTTTTTCCCTCATCGTAAAGACAACGGTTCCCAGTAGAACACTGAAGCCAAGCATCACAGGCTGCGGTCAGTAAGCGGGTGGGTGACCACTTTGATCAGCCTGAGTAGGGACCGAGGGTGAGTGGTATCGGTCCTCGTTAAATTGATGTTTTTATAGTTTTGCTTCTTATCTTTATTTTTCCTTTTTCCCTTGCCAACTTTACGTTTTGTATTTCAAATCACTTTCAGTTCTTCGAATTTTTGGTTTCTTTAATTTTTTAAATTTTGCAATTTAATAAGGAATGAATATTTATTTAGCTCTACTTTTAGCATTAATCATTAATTCATATATTTTAATTGTATATGCGTCTCTGTGAAAGGTCGAAAGTGATGACTGTCTACTTTTACCGGTGAATGTCAACAGTCACATTTTGGTATTAATTGCCCGATATAAATTGGCCCTGTATTCCCTTCCATGATGTTTTTTTAAGGTCAAGTGCCATTACCTGGTATTCTGCCACTGATGTTTTTCCTAATCTATCCTCATCGGTTATTTAAATATCGGATAAATATTAAAGCATCAGCAAATAAACTAATATCGAATCGGACATAATAAATATTTAGGACGTACATAAAAGCAATTATGTTAGTGTTGACGTTAAGTTATTCACGACAATCTATATATTAAGATTTATTAACTTATTTTAAGAAAGAAACAATATATTTAAAGACAATATATATGATTTTTCCACTTTTTTATTGAAAGTGTGCAAGATCCATTATTAAATAATTAATACTAAAAAGTATGAGCAAGTTTACAAAAAACTTGATTGATACGATATATATTACCGAAAACATAGCTTTTAATGTTTTCTATAGTAGATTTATAGGAATACGTCAATGGATATTGTTTGAGTTATTCATATTATAAAGTAATTATTTGTAATCTTTGATCATGTTCATGAATATGATGCATTAATCTCCTTTAAATTTTATTAGTAATTTGTAATTTTGTATGATAATAAAATTAAATTTTCCAACATAAAGTGTGTAGAAAAATATTTTTTCACTCCTATATCGTATTGTACATATTCGTTTTGGCAATTTTAGGTCATAAAGTATACTTCTTCGTTGAAAGATCAGGTTAGTATACATTTTCACGCGGTCATGGGATATTTTTATAGCTAGAAATTAGCCTGAAAGACTATTTTAATCTACACGTAATTCAACTAGAGTTAGTTTCGCTCAAAAGAAAAAGTTTAGTTTTAACCAAATTTTCCTGATTCAGAATTTCTGTGATAATTACAAATTATTATCTTTTGTTAGAAGGATTGCCAATAATATAAAATAATACCGCAATAATAAATTCGAGAAAAAGGACTTTATTGGTTAGTTGTTATTACAAATGTCTGTAGAGTATATCTAATCAGGGAGTAAATCACTTTTATTTCCACAACTGTAAATATAGTAGCGTTTGATACTAAAAATGACTCACAATCCAACTAAACATTTTTCGAATTTTTATTAACTTGGTTTGAGAGTATGGGATCACGTGAACTCACCTCCACCATTCCTGTAACAGAGGTAAGGGAACCTCCAGACATTGGCCAGATCGACTGCAAATCCGATAATGGAAAGCAGGAAATCGGCTTTTTTGCTCCATGTTGGTCTTTCTTCAAGATTGTCACTTCCGCCACCGCCTGGATCTTGTGAGAGAGCAATGATTATAGCGCCATCGGGTAATTGGGAGGCTTTTTCCTGTTGACCCTCACTACAGTTTTTGTGATCTGAAAAGAAAGAACACGTATCATCAAGAGACATGTTTATTGTTGAGAAATACCTTTCATAACTTTATTTAAGGCTATTCTTAGAAGGTTCTCTTATGATTTGGAAGAAGAAAAAAAACACAATTTTAGTGAATAATATACTATTTTAAAAAATGCCAGGTTTTAACAGCCATTCCTGACTGTTAGTTTAAGATTTGTCTACCATTAGATGGTACACCTTTAGCTAGTGCTAATTATGATCATAGCGCTAAGTGTCAGAGAGTAGAAAAACCATAGTTTTGTGAAAATTAAAAGAGTTTATGATCTAATTTTTTTAATATTTGAAAAGTTTCTCCAACTCTGCTTTGTTTGAGATAATAAAGTTTAAAGAAAAATGGGAATAATACAGCGAAACCTTTCGGGAGCGTCCATTCTCTGTTGCACAGTAAAATGGTCGTTAATGGAGATTGGTCATTCTTAGGGGTTACCTCCATTAACTTCAAATTGTTTCTGAAGGAGCATGATTCTTTGCATACGACTTCAATTTTGTTCCTTGTCATTTTTTGGTTCAGTGTCATTTTCTTGGTCACGTATTTTAGCGTCGTGAAAATCGGATCGACGAATAAAATTTAGCTTAAATAAAAGTGATCTTTACTGATATAATTATGTGTAAAAACAAATTTACCAATGATGAATGACAGAACTATTTTAAAAGAATAGACAATTATGTTTCTTGGTTAAGTTTGCATTTACTTTTATATCATGAAAGTATAGTTTTGAAAAATTAGAAGAGGTTTGTTTGAGATGTTTGGATTTTTTCTAAAATAACTTTTCTTCTAATTTAACATTCAACTCTAAAAATAAATAATTGATTTCTTTATTTGACCTTTTCGGCATTTATTGCCGAGGTATGCACAGTCATTGAGTGAGATTTTGAGGGTCTCTCCTAAAAGTTTTCTTCAACACACAGTCTACGGAAAAAATTCTGTACCTCCCAAAAGTGGTCATAAAGAGAAGTGGTCTCTTCTGGAAGTTTCACTGTACGCTCTATAGATTGTCATCTTAGCTTATTAACTTTTCGATATATAAGCTATTTTTCCATTCTGAAGACCAGATAATTCTTTAGAGTAAAAAAGGAAATATAGATTTAATTAAAATTTTTTTTAGAGTTTTGGGAACTTAAATTATGACTTTCTTGCTTTTCTTGGCGAAGAAGATTCGAAAAACACACTTAAAGCTATTCTTCGAAGGTTATGGTGTCATCTAAAATAGCGCTTTTTAGTGAATTACTGTTTTATTACTGTTGCGAGTTTACAGCAGTAATTCATGACTGTTATTTTAAGTTTTGTTCGCTTTTAACCAGTGTTTTTTATGATAATAATGTAAATGGCGCAAAATATAAATATGAAGAAGAGCCACAGTTATGTGAAAATGGAAAACGTTCATAATCTAATTTTTTAATATTTGAAAAGCCACTCTAACGGTGCATTGTTCAGACTCAAATAAATAAATGCCCAAATGGCATTTTTTTAAAATAAGGTTTAAGATATTTAAAATACTTATCCGTTTAAAATATTAACGTATTTATCTATACATACAGCTAGCTTCAAGTTTAAGGCACTATAACTGCAGCTTACTTTTATTTTCTATGGAGAGAAAAAGCTTTAATAAACACTCTTAATAAAGCTAAACAATAAGTATAGAGATTATTTTTTTATTGAATTAGTTTCATATTTAATACTAAATTAGGTTAGTTATTATGTAGGTTAGATTTAAAAATACTAAATAAATTATACGGAGAAAAAATTCTGGTAAAATTTCCTTAAGTGTATGGTAAAGACATTTCTGAAAGAAAAAGACAGCTCTGGTAAATTAGCCAAAATATGCGATATTTAAACCATTAAGTTGGAATTTTTTCTGTGTTTCATGGTAACGGGTTATCAAACATTCTGGAATTCAAAATTGTAGCTTTCATTACCACAAATTTCATAAAAATACTATACTAAAAAGTAAATTTAACCAAATAAATGGTTTTTATGCCATGTCTAAATACCCGATAAAGAAGAAAATCTTTAGAACTATCGTTAGGTAATTTAAGGCTTTGGGTGACTATGCCTTTTACCAAATAGAATAGTAATAATGTGTTTACACTTCCATGGTTTATTTAAATCAATGGTTCATTAAAAGGAATATATAAAATCAGTATTTTTTACAGAGGAATTGATTAAAGTCGTGCGGACATTTCGCCCCAGCAGAAGTATCGTTAGTTTTAGATTTGTCAAACAAAGAGGCTGTTCTTAACAGAGAGCGTACATTATAATGCTATGTTCTTTAAACATAATCCTGCAGCNTAATGTAAATGGCGCAAAATATAAATATGAAGAAGAACCACAGTTATGTGAAAATGGAAAACGTTCATAATCTAATTTTTTAATCTTTACTGTTACGAGTTTACAGCAGTAATTCATGACTGTTAGGTTAAGTTTTGTCCGCTTTTAACCAGTGTTTTCTATGATAATAATATAAATGACGCAAAATATAAATATGAAGAAGAACCACAGTTATGTGAAAATGGAAAACGTTCATAATCTAATTTTTTAATATTTGAACAGCTACTCTAACGATGAATTGTTCGGACTCAAATAAATAAATGCCCGAATGGCAATTTTTTTAAAATAAAGTTTAAGATATTTAAAATACTTATCCGTTTAAAATATTAAAGTATTTATCCATACATACAGCTAGCTACAAGTTTTAGGCACTATAGCTGTGGCTTGCTTTTATTTTCTTTTGAGAGAAAGAGCTTTAATAAACACTCTTAATAAAGCTGAACAATAAGCAAGGAGATTATTTTTTTTATTGAATTAAGTTTCATTTTTAATACTAAATTAGGTTAGTTATTATATAGGTTAGGTTAAAAAATACTAAATAAATTATACGGAGAAAAAATTCTGGTAAAATTCCCTTAAGTGTATGGTAAAGACATTTCTGAAAGAAAAATATAGTTCTGGTAATTAAGTCAAAATATATGATATTTAAACCATTCAGTTGGAATTTTTTCTGTGTTTTATGGTGACGGGTTATCAAACATAATTGTAGCTTTCATTACCACAAATTTAATAAAAATACTATACTTAAAAGTAAATTTAAATAAATAAATGGTTTTTATGACATGCTCTAAATAGCCGATAAAGAAGAGAATCTTCAGAACTGTCGTTAGGTAATTTAAGGCTTTGGGTGACTATGCCTTCTACCAAATAGAATAGTAATAATGTGTTTACACTTCTATGGTTTATTTAAATCCATGGATATTAAAAAGAATACATAAAATCAGTATTTTTTACAGAAGAATTAATTAAAGTCGTGTGGACATTTCGCCCCAGCAAAAGTATCGTTAGTTTTAAATTTTTCAAACAAAGAGGCTGTTCGTAACAGAGAGCGTACATTACAATGCAATGTTCTTTAAATATGATCCTGCAGCTCTGGAATTGTTTTTTAATACCAAAAGAGTGAAGAAATACTGCCACCTGAATTTGACGAAATTGAAACAGTTATAAAGAAGTTATAAAATAAGAAACCTGCTGGGCATGATTGTATCGCTGTTGAGTTGTTAATCAGTAATCTTATTACTGATATCTGGAATGCTGAAATGCTACCGTATAACAGGGTAACAAGCGTTAATTGCCCAATATGTAAAAAAGGCGATACAATAATAATAATTATAGATGTAATTATACATTGTAATTTGTTCAATTATGTAATTTGATGTAATTTGTTCCAATTATAGATGTATCAGTTGGTTAGGTACTATTTATAAAATTTTGTCTAACATCTTATTTAAAAGATTTACACAATGTATACTTTCTTAGTGCCCGTCTAGGGATGATCCTGTCAGACAAACATATAATTAAAAAAGAAAATATCACTATTTCAAATATATTTACGTATTCTTATTCATACAAATGAAAGATTGTGTATTCATTGCAATGTAAAATTTATTACTAATTCATGTTAAGTTAAAGAACAGAGTTAGGCAAGAATATTATAAAAATGCTCCTGCTGTAGCATGAAAGTAGCAGGTTCGAATCGCGCTCTATCCCTAGATATATCTTTGTAATGTCTTTTTCCATCGTGTGTTGTCTGTTTTCTGACTTGAAAACGGTGTACAAGCCGAATATTATTTTCCGCATTCCTGCCAACATATATATGCGTAACAATAAGTAAACAAATATAAAAAAATGGATGCATCCAAGGTTATCGAGATTCGAACCCGCTACCTGCACGCAATAGAGATTAAATTTTAAAGTGGCCGGATCACGCTATGAGTCGAAAATGACTTGACGACTTGTGAGATGACATGTATTGGCTTGCATTGACGTGATTTCGGAAAATTGTCAAAAAATTTACCTTTATACAAATCAGCTTTGTATTTTCTTTATTTCTATCATCTCAGTAAACTGATTAAAAGAGGTTCCCAGTAGAACTATGAAGTTAATCATCAATGGCTGCGGGTAGCAAGCAGGTGGTTGACCACTTTAGGGACCGAGGCTGCTTGATATAGGTTCTAGTTAAACTGTTCTACCGTAAAGTGCTCGACTTCGCGCACTGGTCGTCAGGTTACCATATCAGGGGAGCCATCCTCTCTGCAGACGATCAAAAATGTGATGGTATGTCTTTGAATCATTTTTAGGAGTGTTTCCCTTACCGTTACCAATAGCCCATTGTGCAGCTCAAGCGCGACGCAAATAAGTTTTCTACCTACCTATCCTTATTTCTATTTAATAAATTTATTATTCATTTCATTACAGTCTCAAGATATATTACGTTTTTTTTCTGTTGCAAATGTGTTTAGAATGTGTAATGCATACGACTAAGTAAATATTTCTTTTAATTATTAAAATTGTGCAAAATAAAAATGCTATTTACAATTCGCGCAATTTCATGATAATTTCTATTGGATTCAAAGTCACGAAAATAAAACTTAATACTGATATTATGCAAACATTTACAAGAATGAAATA